CATTAGTACTAGCTTTGCCTCCTCCTATTCCGGATGATTCCAGCAGCACCAGTACTGCTACTGTAGTAGTTGAAGAAGAACAAAGAAGCAAGTATGCAACTTCAGCTGTAACACCAACAAAAAGCATTCTTAGGAAATGCCTTTCCAATGCAAGGAAGGAAGCTGTAAAAAGAAAGGAAGAATCGGAAGAGTTTGAGCAGGCAGCAAAGAGGATCTGTTGTCAACTGGAGGAATCCCAAAAGACCATCACTGAGCTTAMCAGCAAGCTTTCAATTCTCACAGATGATTTGCAACAGAGGGAGCTGTCACTGAAAATCCAGGAGGCAAAAGAAGAGTACAACCAAAAGGAGCTTACTTGGGAGAAAGGCAAAAGAGCCCAGCTCRAAAATGAACTGAAGATGTCTCAGCGCTTGAAAGAGATTGAAGAGGCCCGGCGTGGGGGCCCAAATCACTGTTTGATTATGTGAAGAAACTGCTGCAATTTCTGGTCTATTTTTCGACGATGTAGCAGTATTTTAGTAATCAATATAATGAAAACCAGACTTAAAGTATCATCAGTCCAGTTCTTGCTACAGCCGACGCGATCTTTGGTGACATCTTAGCTCCTTGTGGTGGTGCGTTCTTGCTTCTTGTTCTTGTTGCCAGCAGAGGTGATTACATGCTAAAATCCAGCAACTGGTCGATTACGTAAATAATTGGCCACATGCTGGCGGCATACGTCAGCAATCAGTGCTGAGACTGAGTCCAACAAGGTCTCAGCACTGATTGCTGAAGTAATCTAACTTCAGCCTCAGCCTCGGCCTCAGTTAGATTACTTGGTGTAATCCGTATGTATTCTGATCCGTACACTGAAAAACCTTCCTTAAGGAGAAAATTATGTGCGGTCTCGCGCTATTAGCGCGAGACCGCACATAATTTTCTCCTTAAGGAAGGTTTTTCAGTGTACGGATCAGAATACATACGGATTACACGTACGCAGCCAGCAGGTGGCCGATTATATTACATACTTTTTCGTAGATGCTATGCATCGTATGGTATTTGAACGCCCTCCGCTCTTACATCATCCCGTAGGTATTTCCACTAATCATCTTTGTTCAGAATCCATTGTAGCTCTTGACCACAACTTCGAACTCTACCGTACCGTACAAGGTATAACATCCGCGATTCATGACGAACCCGGCGAAGACCAACAAAAACAGCAGCAGCACAAACAGCGACCAGACAAACCAATCGACCGAGACCATTGCCGAACTCAGGGTGACCCAAACCGAGCTGACCAGTGGAAACCAAACCGGAAAAGTTTTTGCGCGGCTCTCGGACGGCGCGGTGGCCCTTCGTGTCACAAGGAGTGCCGCCGAGGCCGATGTTGCCTCGCGGCTGAGGCGCGAGCTACTAAAGGAAGGAGTGTGAGAATTGGTGTTCGATACATCGGATTAGTGGTCTATTTGCCTACTTCGTATCCCTTGCTGACACGCAGCAAAGAGCCGGATAAGCTAGTCCAAACGTTTGGGAGCAAAACAAGAACGCCAAGAGGAATCGGCGTACTGTCTAATCCAGGGGAAACGAAAGATGCCGGTCACATTGTTTGGATTCGTCCTTCTCGAAATCCTTGTCGTAGTAGTTTTGGTTACCGCTGGGGAATCTCTGGCCCTCTCGGCATCGTCGCCTCCCCCCCAAAACCCTCGGCTGATTCCTTGCTTGGAGTTTGATGGGACGCCGCCGGTGCCATCTCAACCCTCGACCGCAGACGGTGCGGATTGTCCGCTCTTTGATCCCGGATTTTGCGGCGGAAGGGTCTGCCGGAAATGCTACCGGGACGACTATGAAATCGGGGCCTGGGAGCGGCTGTCTTCCCTCGAACGAGGCTTCGCCCTCGAAGACGCGGCCGACCGGGCCCGGCAAGCCGCTGGCTCCGAACCAAGAGCGGATTCCGCTCCCGCCGTAGAACTCGAGCGCATGGCCGCTGCGTGGATGTCCCTGGCAGGGAGAGAAACCACTGCCAAACCGGAGCCCGCTCCGGCCGTTCCGAAAGGATCGAGGGATGGCGCGTGCGATGTTGGTGCCGGCGACGTCCTCGGAAGGCAGACCCCTTCGATATCCCTTACAAGCCCCGTTGGCATTTCTGCTGCCAAAGGTTCGCACCAGGGAGGAAACATTCTTGCCACCGCGGACAGTGGATCCACCCGAGTGGCCCTTCCGACCAAGAAAGCCGTCGCGGGAAACGAATCCCCATCCGGAGGAAACCCCACCACCGAGGCAGCCCCCGAGCCCTCCGGGGGGGAAGGGGTTCTGACCGCAATGCCCCACGGGTTGCCCCCCCCGACCCCCTGCACACGGATCTGCCGGTACAACAGGGACTGCTACGGCGGAAAGGTCTGCATCGGTTGCTTCCGCGAGACGCACGAGATTGCCTCGTGGAGCGGCATGTCCCCCGCCGAAAAGAAGTGCTCGCTAGAAGACGCGGCCGATCGCTCCAGGGACCTCTCCGGGCGTCCCGGGGCTTCGCCGCCGCGCTACGGGGGTGGAATCGCGGAGGACGAACTGAGGAGGCAGGCCGTCCTGTGGGGAGCCCTGGACGAGACCTCCTTGTAACGGACAGCGTGGAGCGGTTGGCAGGTGTTGGCGTCAATCGACCAACCTCGTGGATTGTTTTCTGCCGGGCTTTCTTCTGGCCGGGGGGAGCAGACAATCGAACCGAAGAAGTACTAGTACAGCGCAAGCATGGCCCGTGCAATGACCCTCAACTCATGGTATTGTTCCTAATTGGTGTGCTTGCTGTACACTGCACGGATCAAGCCAGCCTTCGGATCGTATTGGCACCAAATTGTCCAATTGGTCCCACGAGTTGCGATGGAGCCGCAAGAGACGGTGAAAAGTACCGTTTTGCTACAAAGGTCGTTTCAACCGCAATCTACGTTTCTGTAAACTCTTCAAACATGCTTAGTTAGTAACGTTATTTTAGCAGCCAACGAACAAATCATATCGTGTGAAATCGCATGGTACCGTAGGTGACTTGGAACGAATGGTGCACCAACGGGGCATACCATATTGGTACCGCGAGTGTTCTCTGGTTGCGTGTTTGGTTCGTTCTTCATGCCACATGAACCAAGTAGCAAATCGCTTGAAGTACGTAATGTTTTATCTGTCTGCGGCGCATTCTACTTTAAATTCGTTTGCTTTGTTTGTTGCCGCTTTCTCCTCTTCCCTTCTATGGTTAAAGAGTGAAAACTTCTGTTATAATCGAGCTCCTTACCTACTTGTACCGTGCGTACTGAGATAGTGCTTTTCGTAAGATTATTCTCTCGTTTGTGTACGACACGTACTAGACGGTACTGCAACCACCGTGCGGTAAAATGTAAAATTACGAGGATACTGAACTTCATTTGGTGTTTTCTACATTTTTTGAAATTTAAATTTCACATCTCGGGTTCGTTGGCGGCAGAGCATTTTTCTCGTCTAGTTCTCGCGCCTTCAACGTGTGGGTTGTAGCTCTACTTTTTCACACTAGTTTCATACCGTTTGTTACTCGTAGTCCTTTCTTACGTACTACAGTAGAAGTACTACTGTAATGTAGTTACAGAAAGCTGCACGCATCGTATGCTTTCAACAACCGACAACGCAATCAACCACAATCGAAAATACTAAACAGAGTATTTGTCTGGATTGGTGCGACGCGTTTGCGCAATAGCAACAGTTACACTAGATAAGATCTGATAAACCCGTACGCACTTTAATTACCGACGCAATCCACTCTTCCAGAAACCCAAGCAGTACCATGACAACCGCCAGCAGCAGCGACAATGCCTCCGATGCCGCCAACACAAACGAACCGGGAGACACACGAGCGGTGCACACCTGGATTTTCGAGCCGGCCACCTCTGAGAGGAACAGCAAGGCCTTCACGGATGCGGGAATAGAAGCCATTGCCAACCACAAGTACAAGGCCGGGCACTACACCTTCTTGGACAACCTCCTCAACCCGATCTGGACGTGGCTGACGAACCTCCTGCCCATGTGGCTGGCCCCCAACGCGGTCACGATGCTGGGCGGCCTGCACTGCGCCCTGTCCTACTTCACCACCTGGTATTACTCCCCCAACTTTGCCACGCCCCTTCCCGACTGGGTTGTCTTTCTCTCGGGATATTGCACGATCGCATACTACACCCTGGACTGCATGGACGGGAAGCAGGCCCGAAGGACCGGCCAGTCTTCCCCCTTGGGCCAGCTCTTTGACCACGGATTCGACTGCATCTGCAACCTGGCCCACTCCTCTACGCAGGCCGGCTACCTTTTGCTCGAGAGCCGGTGGTTCTTTGCCTTTCAGGGGTCCCTCTTTTTCGCCTTTTTTATGGCCCAGTGGGAGGAATACTACACGGGCATGCTTCCCCACGCAATGGGCAATTTCGGGGTCACTGGTGCGTAAGGCATCGCGATAGCGTTTTGCACAGCAGCCTGCGTTTTTGTTGATGGAGACGAAATTCGTGGTTGGGGAGAACGGACCACGGGGTTGCACAGAATCGCGAAAATTTTGTACGAATTTTGTAGTATCTCATTTCTCTCTTTCTCGTTGTCCTCTCCGTTGTCGCAATAGAGGTCAATTACAGCATTGGGCTCTTTGCTATCTGGAATTCCCTCATCGACCGGGAACGATTCTGGACGACCCCGCTGGGTGACTTCCTCCCGGCGTTTCTTCTGGACGGCTCGACTCCGGTGGCGATTCCGCCGCCGCTACTGGCAGCGGAGATCCGCTACGTAGGCATGGGGATCTGGTTGCTAGGGGCCGTGTTCCTGTGCGGGTGTTCCTTCTACCGCACTGTTACCAGCCCCTTCGTCCGAGAAAACCACTTGCGACTCAGTGCCCTGTCCAAGCTCGTCACCCCGTTTTTGATTGCAGTGGCACCTTTCTGGCTCCCCTACCACGTCCTGGAACAAGAGACGAGGTACATCTCGGTCGGCATGGGGCTCCTCATCTCCTTTCTTACCAAGAAGATGATATGCTTCTCCATGGCCAGGCAGACCTTTGCGTCGATCCAAATGGAGGCCTTTCCCTACTTTGGGATCATATGGCTGATCCGGAGCGACTACTTCAACCAACACATCCTCACGGACCAGATCACGAAGGTTATTTTGGCGGGCTTTTGCGTCTACCAAGCCTATCGGTTGGTAACCTGGGCGAAGCTCGCCATCGATCAGATCTGTACGCGGCTGGACATCAACTGTCTCACTATCAAGCACAAGAAGAAGGACTAGATGGCGCAACAACGTGTTTGTTCTCTTGCCATTCTCGATTCGATTCGATTCGATTCTGTTTAGTGCCGTATTCCTTATCCGGACCTTTTGCCTAGATCTATGAAAAGCACTTATCATGAATTAGTACTGTGTTTGCAAAATGATCATACGTGGTATAATGGATTTGGTGCTCAGTAAGCGATGAAGTCGTCGAATGAGGACCGAAGAAAAGTGCCAAGTCCTTCGATTCCTGATTCAATTCATGCAATTACTCACGTAATAGAGAATAGCTACGTCGAAGCAACATCCGCGACGTAACCTGATAGGAAGTAGGAACTAATATACGCACTTTGGCAAACTACAAGTTTTTTTCGTTAGAATTATTGGAGTCCGTGTCGTAAATCGAGTGGTTCTATGCGGTGCAGATCTTGATTTGCAACGAAACAATTACGTCAAAGAAATTCCAACCGGTTGCAGCTGAGCACGATACGACACGAAAGAACAAAGGCAAGTTTGGGCCGGTCGACAAAGATCCATCCTGCTCTTCGAGCTGCTCAACCCGATCACAATCTCGGCCCCAATATCATACGGTAGTTTCGCATCGTATTTTGAGATCCCAGCCCAGCCCAATCCAATCCAATCCATTCAAATCGAGGGCAGCATCCGTTTCGTGGATTCTATCTATCCATGCGCTGTCACCCTCCGGTCTTTCGGCATCGGTTGTTGCTTCGTTCGGGTGCAATTTTCTTGGTCTTTCCGACACTCGGTTCGGCTTTCCACAAAAGCTCCTCCATTGCATTGGCAGTGCGTCGTTCACTCTCTAACTAAATCGACCTCGTTCGTTCCTCCGCATCCCCACTTTTTTCGTTTCGCACGGGGTTCGTTCGTTCGTCACTGGTGGTCTTGCCCTTATTCGACCGGGGACAGATCGTCCGCCACCGTGGCGAGGATTCCGCGCAAAAGGGCCGCGGAGGGTGCCCCCATGTCGCGGGGAACGCAGAGGCGCTTCGCCACGGTCCTCAGGGCCAGGGCCCCCTGGGTCTTTTCTCCGGTGGACCGTCCCCCGCGGATCGAGGGCGGCGCCAAAGGGGTTGCCCTTTCGCCCCCCCTTGCGGCATCCAGCAGGAGGGACGCCACGTGCCTCAGGAGGGCGTCGACGGTGGGTCCCTTTTCCTCGTCGGCCCGGGGGATGTGGCCCTGGGACTTGGGTTCGACGGCTCCGAGGCAGTCCCGGAGGACGGCGTCGTGGTTCGAAACGAGCTTGGCGGCGGCCTCGAGGGCCGCCTCTCTCGGAGTCGCGATGCTTCCGAGGCCGTCTGCAAATCCCCCCGAGAGGTCCTCGGCGGCAGCATCCGCCCTGGCGATCCCCTCGGCGACCTTGGGCTTGTCCTCTCCCCCGCCAAAGTACCGGAGGAACATCGAGGCGGTGGCCGTCCAGGAATACTCGTCCCCGGCCACCCTGCCGCTGTAGGCCGGGAAGGCATCCATCGCCTCGAACCATTCCCGCAGGTGGGGACGGCCCTCCAGGATGTCGAAGGCCTCCGTCAGGGGAAGCTGGTACCTCCACCGTTCCAGCGTGGGGACCATAATGGCGTCGATTCCGGAAAAGTCGGCCCCGAGGCGGAAGTTCCCACCGGTCTGGGCCCCCAGGGCCTCGTCCAGCTCGTCCAGGACGGCTTCAAAGCCGGAGCGGATCTCCTCTAGCTCGGCCTCCGTCGCGGTCCCGTTGCGATTCCCGTAGGCGAACCGGAATCCCTCGGCCTGGACGCGGTTCTGGAGGTCGAGGGCCTTTTCGTAGTCCTCGTCGCCCTTTCTCGTCAGCCGGACCGTGTCGGGGAACTTGTCGTCGAGGGCCTGCAGAATGGCGTCCGATTCCCAGACGAGCTCCCGGCGGCTTGTGGGTTCGCTGCCGCCTTCGTCGGTCTTGTCTTCGGTTTCGCCGTGAAAGAGAACGGCCGGTACCAAACCGGTAGGGACCATTTGCTTGTACCACTCGGGTTTCCCCTGGAGCGGCACCAGGGTTTCCTGGTAGGGAAGCCCCTTTGCGCGGACGGCCACCCATACGCGCTCGCAGAAGGGGCACCAGCCGTTCGTATCGCTGGGTTTCAGTTTTTTGGTTCGGGAAAGCAAGGCAAACCATCGCGGAGTGGAGGAGGGAGTCAAAATAAAATGCGAGCCACCGAGGAACGAATGAAATCGAATCGGTTTGGGCAACCGAATCCATTGGTTCGTGATAACAAACAAACAAACAAACAAAAGATTGCACGCCACGAAATCCAGGAATGCATCGGACAGAAACAACATGGTGAGAAAATCGTTCTACGGAAAGAGCCCCCTCTCTATCGCACAGAAAAGCTCGTCTCGTCCTTGTCCTTACCGGTACAGCGTCAGAACCGGCTTTTCCTCGGGAGCACCGCTCCGAAGGTCCTCGAGGGCCGATTGCAGGTCCTCCCAGGTGGGAAGGGTCTCCGTTTCGGTTTCCGCTGCCTCCTCGACCGTGGCGCTCCGCTCCGCTCCTCCACGAACAAAGGCCGCCCCTTCAACCGGCGCCCGCTGGAGCAACGGCGAACGGTGCCATTGCAATTGCTGCTGGCTCGCGTGAAATCCCTCGGCTTTCCACACCGATGCGGTTGCCTCGAGTGTGGACAAGCACACGAGCCACGAGAGCAGGGATGCTACCGATACAACCATTGTCTTCTTTGCCATGCTTTGGGTTGTCTTGCGTCTTGCGTCTTGCTGCTGCTGTATGCGGAACGGGGCTTCGGCGATCCATACCCAGAGGGTTCTTCGACTGCGTGGATCGTTTCTGTCAGACCAAGTTTTTGGTCAATTCTTCAATTCCAAGATACGGTTCGTACGTACACAACACGTACGACTACCAATACTAAGACGAACAAATGAGGCTGTGTACTGTATGCCAGTGCATGCTGTGCCTACGTACGTACCAGTACGTAAAGATGGTCGTAAGAAAATCTCTGACTAATTCTCTCGTACTCGTAGGAATACAGTACGGTAGCTTTTACTGACTTCAAACGTTGTCCATACTTCACTTTTCATTGTAGTTCATATACTTGATAAGGTATCAATGTACGTAGGATACCAGGTAACCCTCCCGTCGCTCTACTACCTACTAGTACTACGCAAGTGCCTTAAGGTACTGTACGATGGTATGATTCTACGGAACCGATGCCATCGGTCGAAACCATCTGTCTGCTGCCAAATGGTCGAGGCGAAACAAAAACCCGAAAACCGGTCCGTCACGCAACAACGAAGAAAACAAGCAACGCAACGCGGGTGTTGCACGAACAAGATCGGAAGTACGTACCGTACCGCAAGCATGTGCGTCCGAACCATGCGATCACCGGGCGAGGAAAGGCAACGAACGACCAAACCCTTGTTCCCGCCGGACGCGGTCCCGCAGGATACGAGGAGCTTCTCCTTTGTTTCTTCGTTTTTCTTGTTCCTCGTTTCTTCCCTTGGTTCTGCAATTGCAGAATCTCTCGGCCCGAACACCGGAAACGATGCGAGGCGAGGCGAAGACCGACAAGCACAATGAACAATGCACCACAACACACCACAACGGTGGAACAATTTCTGTCAACATCCAATGCATGTAACGCATCGGTCCGTGAGCAACAAGATCGCGTCCCTATTTTCTGCATTCACCGACTAGCAATCCAGCAATAGCCCGTGAAAAATCAGAGAGACCTTCCGAAAACAGTCCCTCGGCGGAACAGAAATTGGTGAAACGAAAACGCCCCGACGCAGCTGATCCGCAATCCACAATCCACACCACAGAACAGAACCCCACACCGCCATGGGATCGGCAAGCCACCACCTTTTTCCCGCCGCCCTTTGCGCTTCGGCCCGGTCCGCGGGGGGCTGGGCGACGGTGGCCCTCGTTCTCCTGCTGGCCGCATCGCACGCGATCTGCTGGCTCCCCCTGCAACTGGTCTACGGGTTGCCCCCCGTCGGGAACCACGCCGGTCCCTCGAGCGTCTGCCTCCCGGGCGGGGGCTTTTCCGGCTTTTGGTTCCACCTGGGGTACCTCCACTCGCTGGAAGAACGACAACGAGAACACCAACGAGGGCACCAAGCTGACCCCGTCCTCCTGCACGACTACGATTACTACTGCTTCTCGGCGGGCTGTCTCAGTGAGTCCTAGCGGCAGCGCCAAGGAGCCTTCCGGAGTTTGCATCGCATCGCATCATAGTACAGTGTATCGCATCACACAAACTAGCTTTCTCACAGGCCGTTTTGTTTCTTGCAATCCTTTCCATCGGTCTCGATTCGACGCGATTCTCCGATTCGATTCGATTCGATCCGTTTCTTTCGATTCTGGTTTCCGTTGCGGTTTTTCGGACTACTTCCAACGACAGGCATCCTCTCCGCGTTCCTGAACCGCTCCCTCGACGAGGTCTACGGCGCGGCACTGGCCGCGCAGAATGCCTGGAAGGACGGGACCCACAGCCGGTTCGACATTGTGGACCACTTCTTCGACAGTCTCGTCCCGCCGGAGGAGGAGTTCGAGGCCCTGCTGCACGGCAGCGGTGGCAACGGCAACGCCACCGCTCCCCACGACGCGAATTTCTTGCCGAGGCTCAAGATCCTCGTCACCACCTCCTCGGAGGGACTTTCGGTCATGGAATCCAGGAACCGGGACGAGCTCCGGGAGAACATCCGGAGGACCACGTGGGTGCCCTATCTGACCGGCTGGGGCATGCTGGTCGACGCCGGCGGCAGCAGCAACAACAACAACAACAAAAGCAGCAACGATGTCTACTACCTCGACGGGGGGTTTTCGCGGGTCCTCCACCCGGCCTGCGGGGCGTCCTGGGACCTGCCCTTTGTGTGGGAAACCCTGGTCCACACCTTTAGCCCGGGCCTCACCAGGGGACAGGTGGAATCCCTCTGGGCCAGGGGCTACGGCCACGGGGGGTACGATCTCCCACCGGTGCCGAGGGGCCGGGCGAAAGCAACGGCGACGACGGCCGCCCGTGCTCCAAACACCACCTCCGCGGCGCAGGGCGAACGCCGGGGAAGCGATTGATCCGCTTGTCGCGGTTGGTCGCACGGACCACGAATACATCCGCCACAGCGTCGGACTCTGATTCGATTCCGAACGACCGGAACGAGTTCGCACTACGCAGACCGAGAAAGGATTCGATGAAGGCTAATAATATAGGACAAAGTTTATAAATAAAGAGCATTCCATTTTCTTGTTCAGATAGTAAAAACACAAAAAGATTCATGGAAAAGAACGCCATTCGTTTGTGCATTCGCATCTCTGGTACCGCTGTGACAGCTTTCGATCATGCACATCACACAATAGCGTAGCGAAGCATCGATGTGTGTGCCATTTGGTCCAAGGAGGCCTGTGCGGGATTTTTGTGTGGAATTTGTTCTCCTCCGTCTTCCTTCGGTGACACTTTTGGATACCGTTCGTTCAGAATCAACAACATGCGTCGAGCCGTGTGGGAAAAGATCGCATCGGTGATTTGCTCGCATCGCATTGATATGTACATCGTCATGCATCGCATCGCATCGCATCCATTGTCGCATCTCGTCACACCCATTCGCTCAAAGAGGACCGAAAACGTGCCGGTTTTTTCCTCGGCTTCGGATCCATTGGTTTCTCCATCTATAATACAAAAGCAAACACCCATCGCAGCACGCAACGAAATGCAAGCCTAGATTTTGTCGATTTTCGAAAAGGTTCCCCCGCCCGTGACCTTTCGAATCGCGGCGTCCTTGGCATCGTTCTTGTTGGCGGAGGATTCCTTCATCATGCTCGCCATCATGTTCTTGTAGCTGGACTTTTTCTTCTTTTTCTTTTTGGCCGGGGCCGCCGCGGTTGCCGCGGAAGGGGCCACCGCCGCCGGTGTCTCGAGCGCGGTGCCGCTCGCTCCGGCCACGGAGGGGGTGGAAGCGGACGACGAAAGGTTCGACGCCGATGCCGACCGGGGGGTTTCCGTCTTGGCCGCCACGGGGGCGGAAGCCGTTTCCAGGGACGGCGGGGCGGTGGTGGAAGCCGTTTTGCACACGGGCGACGGGGGCGGAACCACCGCGGCCGCTACGGCGGCTTTTGTTTTCAGGGCGCTTTGCATGTCGGCCCAGCACTTCGAACAGCAGCCACCGGTGGCGGGATTGCCCTGCGGTGGGTCGGATCGGAAGGAAAGGAGAGGAAAGGAAAGGAAAGGAAAGGAAAGGAAAGGAAAGGAAAGGAAACGACACGGAGCGAATTTCGAGAACAACCAGGCGTGAGTACAAAGCGAAAGGGTCAAGGCATCGGTCTCGCATCGCTTCCAACCCAACGAAACGACGAACGGAGAGGCACGGGACCGCGTTTTGCGTGCTGGCATCGTTTTCGGTATGTGTTTCGTTTCACACTTCTGGCGAGAAAGATGTCATCAGCGCGCGATGAGCGCGCGTGGCGGAAACCAACATTCTCAATCGCCAACTAACGCTCGAAACCCCTGTGCAGAGTGACTCGTACTGTATGTAGGATGCAGTAGTACTTCTACGCAATAGTCCGTATACTGGGGTATCGTTCTTAACCGTTGGCCGTCGCCTCCCATCGACGGCGATTGACTCCCGTAGCCTACGCAGCGAAATGGTCCGGTCGCAAGCCCTCTATTCCGGAACGCCAGGGAAACGATTTCCCATGGAGTGGCAATCGCCAGCCCGCGAACGACGGGCCTTGAATCGGAAGGGGTGTGCCTCGCCGCTCCTTGTTTCCTACGCGGCGGGAGCCGTTTTCTTTTCCATCCCTCTCGGAGAAGACGACTTGTGTTCACTTACAAAAAATCCACATCCCTTTGCGCACCGGCTTGGTTCTGTTTGCTTGTTTGTTGCGGTTTGTGATTGATCGGACATGGTGGTTGTGGGTTGTGGTGTAGGGTGTATCGAAATGGATGGGTTGTGTTGTGTTGTGGTCAAGCGGCACACGTCCTCTTGTGATGAGATTATGGAAGGGAGTGACCGAAGGAAGCGAACTAACCGAAGAATGTTTCTCGATCGTGACACAGGCATCGTAGCGCAATCGTAACGTGCTCTACGTACGGCATAACATCGTCGTACCTACCACGGTGCCTGCCGTATGGTTCGCTCCGTACTCGTTCCGTAGATTCTTGTTCATCAAACTACGTAATGGTAATCCCGTATTTAATCTATCGTACGTACGGCACTCGTACGATCAAGAAAGAGTCCGACAAAACTACGAATACGATTTTCGTGTGAGTATCGTATGTTGTGCGGGAGTTGCATGTGCTTCGAGCCGAAAATCGTCGAAACCACACGAACAAAGGTCCTGCGCGACCAAATCATGTATGATAATATATATGATAGGTATGTACATACCCAATATAATGATCATTGGACGTTTCACCGTACGGCACGTACTCGTCGTACTATAGGGGTCACTTACAGATATACCGGTACGACGTCCGTCGCCCATCCGAGTTTCGAGAGAAAGGCTACAACCCTAGAAAATATCACTTTTTGATAATTTTCCTGGAACAAATGAGGAAAACATCATTGATAAAAGAAAAAAGATATACTATTCAAACAGGGACAGCCCCGATTGCCACAGCAGTTCCAGAAGAGGCGACAGCAGCGGAAACAAATGATGAGACACTTCTTCAGCTCGAACAAACTTGATGATACTACTGAACCGACTCGATAATCCAGGGATACTACTGAAATTGACGGAGTGGCTGGAATAAGTGCTGTGTCGCCAGCTGACTTCCTCTTCTTAGCGTCTCGCTTGTCTCTCGGCTTTCGATTCTTCTTGATGTGTCATCGGGATTTCTTCTATGGGCACAGGGAAAATATCTTTTCTCTGTTCTTTTGGTATTATCTCTCTCCATTTCGTTCGCATTTCAATCTGTTGAATGGGGTTGTACTTATCTCGCCTATTATTTTGATGCCAGAAAGATATCTGAGCAATCCCATCTGATAGGAGGTTGTGTAATGTATTACTGTAGTAATTATAAAGAATCGGAAGCAAACAATCTGAAGTGAAGAAGCACCATACAATATCTAGCACCCCAAAGAAAGGCTCGATTGTTGGGTGTTTGTTTGTGAACTGAATTCCTACGTTCTATTTAGAAGTACTGGGCACGTACTACAGTTCTACTCTTACTCGCAGCGGGGTAGCAGTATTGGGTTGCAACCCGGCCTCGGATCGTATGGATCGGATTCGATTCGATTCCATCTTGCCATCCGTCGCTAGTCGTCGTCCGCAACCACACCGTCCCAGTGGTCTTCCACCAGCCGCTCCAGGAGGTCGCAAAAGACCTCCCGGTCTTCCTCAAAGGCGTTGTGGCCCAGGCGGTCCAGTTCCACCACCACCGGCGAAAACCGGGCCTGCGCCCTTGGCGCCTTTTCCACCGATTCCAGAAAGGCCCGCAGCGCGGACCCTTGGACCACCCGGTCCCTTTCCCCCAGGACCACCAGCACGCGGGTGGAGGGGAGCTCCAAGACCTTTTCCAGCAATACGGCGTCGTCTTCCAGGTCGTCCTCCGCCGGGAGGGCCTGGGCCCGGACGAACCGGAGGATCCCGTCCTCCCAGCCGGCCCCGATCGAGGGCCACGAGTACCGGAGAACGTCGCTGTCCTCCTTCAGGGCGCTCGGGTCCCCCCAGGCCGCCTCCAGGCCCTTCTTCCAGGCCCCCTCGGCGCCAATGGCCCGGCGGAGCAGGTAGCGGGAAGGGGGGAGGAGCATTTTCTTGGCCAGGCCGGCCCCGATCGCCCGGAGGATCGACCGGGCGGCCGGTGGTGTCTTGGGCTCGGCCCTTCGCTTCAGCAGCCCCAGTGCCGGGGAGGACAGGACCACGAGCTTGGGGGTCTCCTCCGGGAGGAGGAGGGCCAGCCGCAGGACGGAGAGGGAGCCCATGGAGTGGCCCACCAGGCAGACCGGCTCTTTCGGTTCAACGGTTCCTTGCGTCTCCTTTGCCAGGACGGCGCGGGCGATCCTGGAGGACTGCCCGGCCGTGTACCAAAAGGGATCTTTCGGCCGGTCGGTAAAGCCAAAGCCGACGGCGTCGTGGCCGAGGGCCACCCTCGCTCCGAGCCGGTCCGAGAGGGAGGGCAGGACCGGGAGCCACGAGAGGGAGGAAGCCCCGAATCCGTGCTGGAAGTACATGGCCCCGAACCGGAGCGGTGGCCTTCCGGTGCTTTCCTTTTCGCGGTTGTCGGCCTTGTCGATGCCGCTGTTGGAGTAGCGGAGGTAGTGGACCCCCAGCGGGACCCGTGGCCCGCTGCTTCCAGCGCTTCCGGAAGGTGGATCGACCTCCACCGGCTCGTACCGGGAGAGGGTGGTCGGGAGCCAGCCGTTCTCCCGGAGGTGTCCGGTTGTCACCCGCGAGGGAGCCACCTTGCCCCGAAAGATCGTTTCCTGGAGGGCCACCCGGGCAAAGGCCACCCACAGCAGCGATCGGACCAGAAAGGCCGCCGCCCCTCGGATCCACCCAAAGAGAGGGCCGGGGAAGCTCCCGGGGGCAAGAGCCGCGCGGGAAATCGCCCCCCAGGCCGGGACCAGCAGGGTCAGGGCCCTGGCCCACAACGGGAGGGGCCGGTAGCACGTCCGGAGGCCCCCGGGGAGGGTCCGCAGAAAGGGCTCCGAGGGCCCAAAGAGCGCCGCGGGGGAAAGGGTCGGCTCGGAAGCCGGTACCGAGTCCGGTCTTCCCTCACCGGCCTCCAGCGGGCTGCCCGAGAAGAGGCGACCGGCGGCCCTGGCCAGGGGATTCCCACCGGCCTCCGGGAGTCTCTGCGGTTGCGAGCGGTAACGCCCGCGGCGAGCGTCAGGTTCCGTCGTCGTCCTCGCCGCCTTCCGCATCGTCGTCGTCGTCCTCGCCGTTGTTGTTCTGGCCCTTCCTGCCGCCTTTCGTTCCGCGCTTGCCGCCGGTCGCGGTCCCACCGATGGAAGCTTCATCTCCGCTCAAATCGGGAATCACCCGGCAGGCGTGTTCGATCGCGGCGGCGCTGAAGAATCCCCAGCTCTGGTTGTTGATGAACTCGTCGCTTCCGTGCTCGTGCTTGATGTTGAGGTTGCAGAACTCGCACATCTGGAGAATGGATTGCTTGTTGGTGGCTTGGTTTCTGGCTGGCGTTGGTCGGTGAATCGATGCGGCGCAATGCTGTGCCGTGCTGCGCGGTGCAAGTGCAGTGGTTCCGGAGGTACGAGTACTTTCTCGGAACGAGGGCAGGTGTTGCCGTTGGTAGTAGTTCTAGATGCGAAGTACAAGATCTGTACCAATTTCTGTAGTACGTACTTGTAGTTACAATTCAATATGGAATGCGGGCCGTTCCTTCCGGGTTGCGGTTTGTACTACCTGTTCTATCGAATGCTTGTAATGGAAGGGGAGAAAGAGCTCCGTCATGATTCCGGGTGTCATCCCGTTATCGAAAGGGAGATGGCAGCGGTAGGCAAGTAACTCGTACCTTACACCTTGACTACGATACACCGCATGCCGCCGCGTGGACAGGGGCTGTGGTGCAGAGCGAACAGCAACCGATTCGTTCAGGCACGAGTTGAGAGAATTTTTGAAATGATGTTCGGAACCGACGGAGAGAGATTCCTATGCTAGAGTTGGGGATATTAGATATTATGAATTTGGTCCATAACCACCAATGCCGATAGCCGATGCGGAGGATGGAAAGATTTTTGGATATTATCATACAGTATCTATCGTACCTTCGAGGAATACGATTCTATCGGACTTTTCATTCACGGGAATGACAAAAATCGCGGTGAATCACTTTTCCTAGGGGTACGGTTGCCGTACGTTAGTGTACTGTAAATGGGCGCGCCATTGATGATTCAGCTAGCTCTCTGTACCATACCAAGAACCGCGTACAGAGCGGTACCCCTTCACGGGATTGCCGTCCTTTTCAGTATTCCTACCGTAATCCAAAACAAAAAACTGTACGGTAGAGCGAAACAAAACAGACGGAACGCAACCTGTCCCACCAATCAACAGAAGAAACCGTGGACGACCGACTCGCTMTGTTTCAGATACACAGCAAGAAACTCCCAGACGACACGATACTCCCTTCGAAGTATTGCTTGGTTTGTTGGGACGCTCGAGAGGTTGCTTGCACCACAACATGAAACTGCGCCACTCCACCCGTCGATTGCTCTCCGTATCTTCCCTCCTCGCCGTGTCCTCCACCTTTTCGGGACCCATCGCCACAAACACAAACGCAAACGCAAACGCAAACGCAAACGCAAACGCAAACACCGCTAGGTCCTTTTCGTCGTCTTTTTCCTCCCTCTTTGCGTCCGCCATGGCCGTTTCCCCTTCTTCCAAAACGAGCGTCCGCGTGGCCTCGTACAACGTTCTCTCCTCCCACCTCTCGGGGGCCGACCACTTTTCGACCCTCGACCCGGAGCACCTGCTGGCGGCCAACCGGCTCCCGGTCGTCCTGGAAAAGCTCGACGCCGAGATGGAGAAGTCCGCGATCCTCTGCCTCCAGGAGGTCTCCCACGACTGGGCCGGGTCCCTCCACGCCCACCTGGCCAACAAGGGATACCACTTTGTGACGGGCCTGTACGGGAAGCGATTCAACGGCTACATGGGGGTCGGGATTGCCGTTCCGACCAAGGACTACGAGGTCCTGGGCGTGGACATTTCGAGGCTGGCCGACACGAGGGAGGGCGGGTGGCCCAGGCCCCCGCGCGGGAGCGAGCCCGGGAGGATCCGCGCCTTTGCCTCGGGCCTTTTGGGCTGGGGGAAGACCTCGGCCCGGACCTTTTTCTCGCTCTTTGATCTCTGCGAGGCCCAGCCGCGCCCCCCGGTCGACCCCTGGTCGATGGCCCAGAACCGCTTCAACGAGATGGTCACGGTCACCCTCGGGGACCGGGCCACCGGTCGGTCCTTTGTCATTGGGAACTACCACATGCCCTGCGCCTTTTACGCTCCGGTGGTCATGACCCTCCACGCCGACCTGGCCGCCCGCCACGTCCAGAGGCTGGCGAAGGAGGCGGGACGAGCGGCGGCTTGCCGCGAAACCGCGACCACCGAACCCAGCGGGAGCCTCCCCTGCGCCCTGGTGGGGGACTTTAACATCAAGCCCGACGGGTCCTCCTACCGGCTGCTCACCACCGGGGCCATGGACGCTTGCGATCCCGAGTGGCCCCCACCGAGGCACGGGACGGAGTGGGCCCCCGGGGGGGCGGAGCCGATGCGCAGCGCCTACGCGGTCCACGGGGGCGAGCCCGACTTTACCAACTACGCCCGAATCAAGGAGCAGGACCCCTTTGTCGACACGCTCGACTATATTTTCCTGAGCGAGGCCTGGCGGGTCGGGAGCGTGAAGGAGCTGCCCCACCGGGAGGGCTCGGGGGGGCCCTTTCCGAACCTCGACCGGGGGGAGCCGAGCGACCACATCCTCATCGCGGCGGACCTGGAGCTGGAGTAGGAGGGAGCGGAGCCCGGAAACGCGAGGCAACAAAATATAGAAAGAACGAATGAATGAATGAAAGGAACCGGCCAACGAACAAAGCAGCGAGGCGATGCGGGTGGTAACGCAATTCCATCGACAATAAGACAAAGCGAATTCTCTCAAAGGAACACGAGTCTACTTTTGTTGAGCGATAGAAAGAACCAATCGAAGGCAGAAAACAAAGGGTAGATTCGGAGAATAGAATACAGCGATTCTATTCCATAGCTCTCGAGTTATGCATCCTATGATTATCAACTATAATAACAATTATTATTTCAAATGGAACAGGTATGTAGCGATTTGCTATAAATAATGGAGACAGCCCGACTGGATATTCGATTCGATTCGATTCGATTCGATTCGATTTTTGGTTTTTCGTCTCGATTAGAAATCAATGCAATACAATATCACACACACATTCCAGTTCACTTCGATTTCGTTACTATGATGAAAGTTTGCGTTTTTAAAAAGGCGCAGACACCCCTCCCCGACGTTCTGTTGAAGTCGGACATCATTTCGCCACCAATATTCTTCTACCATTGCCTGAGACAGAGTCAAAACAATTAAAATTGCATGACACGTCGCTCGACAGCTTGTTTTGGCTTTTTTCGTGACGATGCAGTGCGGTACTCGAACGAAGAACAGGCTGCGCTTCCACAACTCCGCGTTTGGAAGTGCAACGCAATACAAGAACGCATCATCCCCGGAATCTCGTCGAACAGTCTGGTCGTTCGAAATGGATCAAATGCAATACAAAACAAAACAATGCATGGGCTTCGATCATGGAAAGAACAAGGCATGGTAAAAAAAACATCTTATAGCTAGGGTTGGCCTTCAACCCGATCGATAAGAATAGCTTGGTCATATTCCAGAATGTGATTCCACATGTATAGTTGCTTAGAACAAAAGAAGAGAAACATCGGTGAACGGCAGTTTTTGGATTCGGTTCGGCCCGATTGGCTTGTGTAGTGACAAGAGTTCCTGCTTGGCCACCTGTGACCCGTCTCGATGCAATCCTGGTCGAACAGATCTCTGCCCCGTTACTCCGGAAGCTCAAAGGAAAGAATTCCCTTGGCGGCGCACTCCCTCAGCAACCCGTTGTGGGTGGGGACGGCTTCGTCGCCGAGATCCCAGAAGTACTTGTTCCTCCACTCGAACTCCTTCACCCCGCACGGGAAATCGGCCACCACGTCCGTGTACGATGACAACCGGTCCATCGTTCCGGGGGGAAAGGAGATCCCCTCACTCGCGGACACCGCTTCTACCAGCTCGGCCACAATGGCCTCCACCGTGGAGGAGTGATCCCTCCCGGCATCTCCAACGGTGGGGCAGTCGTTGGCCGCACCGACGAGCATGTACGTGGAGATCCACATGAGCTTTTCGAACATGGCGGGGCGGTAGTCCTTACCGGAAACGACGTTGCACTTTAGGTCGAGGGCGGCCAGGCGGCCCGCAAAGGCGTCCGCCCACTCCCCCGTCGACGCGGTAAGGCCCTCCGGGTTGAAGGCCGTGACGCCGTCGGTCGGTGCGACGCCCTTAGCCGAAACGCTCAGGTACAGCAAGACCTGCGTGTTGTCCGAGAGCCCCTTGCTTTCCAGAAAATCGTCGAGGTACCCGTTCTGCAAAAAGACGAGGTCCTTTCGCCGGTTGGGAGGACAGCTCTCGACAATCCCATCCAGGGCATCGTTCCGCGTGGCGAGGAGAATGGGGCCTTCTCCGTTTGCGTCGATGGAATCCCCCCTCCCCAGAACGACGCAGTTCCCGGCGTCGGAGAGAGCCCCACCGATGCGGCCGTTTCCGACGATGGCCGAAAAGGGAACACCGGTCGCAGAAGGTGCCACCGTCGATTCTGCTTGGAGGCTGCTGCTACTACTGCTGCTCGATCTGACCGATCGAAGCGACGGCGAAGTGGTGGCCCAGGCGTAGGACCCGGAGATCCGGCCGCCTCCGAGAATCGCTTGGAGGACGACCGCAGCTAGACCCAAGGCATTTCGGAAAGTGAGTTGGGATTGTACCATGGTGTCTCGTGTTGCGTTTTGTTACGTTCTATTCTGGTGTGGTGCCTTATTGTTGGGGGTGCTGCCTATGCTTCGCGAGAATAATTTGTTTCGCTACGAAGTAGACGTACCAGGTACTGGTACTAAACTACGAGATGGGTATACAGTATCTCGTACCGTACAGTAAGGTACGAAGTACCACCGTACAACAGTAGTTTAGCTATGACGTGTGTAAAATGAACAAATCTGAGAGCTCTTTGAGACGATGATGATGATGTGCGTTATCTTATGTATCGTACCGATACAAGTATGGTTGGTACATACAGTACATACTATATGACTTACTGAAATGCGTTTCTTGTTTCTTTTGCTTCTTGCTTCTGCGTTCTGCGGAGGTACGTAAGGTATGTGAAGTACATATTCATAATACAAAGGTAGAAGTATGTCAGATCGAATTTCGGTGGCTACAGTATTTTTTGTCAGCTACGAGTAGAGTGCAATGTACAAGTCCGTATTTGTCCAGTGCTGTGTAATCGTCGAGTAAGACAAGAATTTCAGGGCATTACTACGAGTATAGTAACAATTGAAACCGGACTCCGCCAGAGAACAATAAGTAATAATTTCAAGTTTTGAACTTTGATTTGAAGTTATTAACTTTTGCTCGTACATGATGAGCTTGTCAATCGATTCCCCTCAAAACAAAACAAAATGGTTTGAGGTGATTCAATACCACGAGTTTCATAACAATTGCACACGGTCTTGCCCAGAGAGCAAAAAGTAATAATTTGAAGTTCTAGCTAAACTTCGATTTGAAGTTATGAACTTTTGCTCGTACATCATGTACCAGGTTCTACAAAGCTATTTTTTTAAATGACTGAATGACCGAATCGATTCCCCTCAAAACAAAACAAAATGGTTCGAGGTGATTCAATTATGAATCCTGGCCTTTCAATCATGAATGCCTTTCAATCATGAATGCCATTCAAAAACTAGCTCAGTAGAACCTGGTTGACTTTCTACCAGGAGGATCATCATTGACTATTTTACCACACCGGGCATGCTACCAGGCAATACTCTGGCAATACGAATGGTAACTTGCTGGCGCTCTAAACACAGCATTCATTCAAGACACGCATTGCTTACAAGAGGACTCACTTTGGGGAGGGGGATCAGAGAATCTAATTATTACAAAAAAATTTACAGTAGGAATGGTAGCTACCATAATTGCTACCATAATTGCTACCAGATTGCTACCAGATGGTAGCAATTCTGGTAGCAATTCTGGTAGCGATAGTTTCTTGGAGGTTCCCGGGACTGCAACGCATATTTAAATACTATCCGGGATTGATATCAAAGCCAGCCAGCCAGCCAGCAGCTGCTCCTAGTATGCAGCTGCTGATCCAGCTGATCAGCGAGGAGCAAAATCGATCTATTTGGACATCTGTAGTACAAAAGCTGTGTAGAAACCCCTGTAGAAAACAGCAAATCAAGGGGATACCCTTGCAATTTTGCTCAAAATTGAAGGGTTTTGATTCCGTGTTCAAAATCATACTGAGTCCTAGTGTCTTCACCTAAAACTTCCCTCCAGCACGCTGATATAGAGCGTGCGTGCTAATTTAGCGTACTAAACTGTTCTTTTCATTATCAAAAAACTCCCGGTTCAAAGCAACCGACCATGGGAATTGCTCCATTTCAAGGACTTCCACTCACTCTTTCTTACTGCGCTGGTATCAATCAATAGCTCTCTTCTATTGTCGATTGAACAAGCCTTGAACTGTAGAAAAGGACCCAGTAGAAGTAGCTGGATCCTGTGTTAAGCAAAGACCATGATCTGCAAAGACACCATAGAATTAGTAGCAAAAGATATTCTTCGATGGCCTGAAAAGAGGAGATGGAATTCAAAGACAAAGGATAAGAGATTCTCATCGTGCTTTGGAGCTTCAAGTGAAATAGTAGCAGATATTTGGAATAGGATAGCAGCTTGTGGTAATCTTGCAACTGGCGCCCAACCAAAGCATTTGCTGTGGGCCCTAGTTCACCTAAAGATCTATTCAACTGTTGAAATCCACTGCGCCATAGTAGGATGGCCTTCCCCGAAGGTCTTTTCAGAGTGGGCTTGGTACTTTGTGGCAAGGATTGCAGAACTAAAGGATGATTTGATTAGTCTCAACAACAGGTTCAATGGTTATCAAGGAAATATCAGAACAAACTGTTTCATAAGCGTCGATGGAACAGACTGTCCTGTCTTTGAGCCTTCACCTTGGACAAAAACAATGTACTCCCATAAGTTTAATGGGCCAGCTCTCAAGTATGAAGTAGGCGTTTGCTTGAAGACTGGTTGGATTGTTTGGGTGAATGGTCCTTTCCTTGGAAGTACAAATGATGCAACAATATTCATTGAGGGATTAGGAACGCTTATACACAGCGATGAAGCTGTCGAAGTTGATAGTGGATACACCAAAGATCCTAGATTCAAGCTTCCTGGAATGGGATTAAGTAGTGAACAAAGGAAGATGAAATCAAATGCTCAAGCACAGCAGGAAGCTGTTAATGGTAGATTGAAACAATTCAATGTGCTCACTACTCATTTTAGACACATGAAGCCAAACAGAGATACAATGATGAGGAGGCATGGACAGTGTTTCAATGCTGTTGCTGTTATTACACAGCTCAAGTTTCAGTCTGGGGCAACGGTATTTTTGGATGGGCTTGAGTATGATGTTAATTATTTCTAGTCACCAGTCCGCCCAGCAGCAACAACAGCACAGCGTTCGTCTCCAGCAAGTGAGCTGGATTTACGGGGTAGTTGCAATAGACCGGAGCAATCCCCTGGAGCGTGGCTTGCTGGTGAGTCAACTCCTTCTGGGCCTATCAAAATTCAATCATACTGGAGAGGCTTGGATTCCAGTCCCTCCATGAGATATACAACAATAACTACTAGTACTAGTTGTAGTATTCCTACTGGCCTATTCCTTCTGTAATCACCAATGCTGTTCTAGTAGGCTTCCAAGTGGCAGCATGCTACTACAAGTAGTATGAAGCTAGCAAGAGGCTCCTCAGTACTACTACTAGAACGAGTAGCCCTACTGAGGAGGTCACTAAAATGAGCAAACTAGTAGTACTAGTAGTAGCACAACGGAGGAGGTCAAGATTCACTAAATTGAGCAAACTGGCAAGGCTCCCCCCTTGCAAAAGGAATTTCTACAGCAAATTGCTGTACAGCTTGTACCAGGAAAGTTCAATTTCATCCATTTTTNTTTCTACAGCAAATTGCTGTACAGCTTGTACCAGGAAAGTTCAATTTCATCCATTTTTGCTCTCCAGACTAGTAAATCTAGACTCCTCAGTACTAATACTACTACTAGTAATAGCAGTAGCACTACGGAGGAGGTCAAATTGAGCAAACTGGCAAGGCTTCCCCCCTTGCAAAAGGAATTTCTACAGCAAATTGCTGTACAGCTTGTACCAGAAAAGTTCAATTTCATCCATTTTGCTCTCCAGTTTGCTTGGTAACTACTACTACTACTAGTACATCACAAAAACTATTTGCGACCCATAGCGAACCCCCCATCGCAACCCCATTGCATGCCCGAACGCGACCCAATTTTTATGATCAAAGTGCACGTTGACCTTGCGTCGCGCGAGGGACGAACTACCCTTTTTTATAATTTATTTTTTCAGCACGCGATTCAAATTTCAACCAACCTTTTATGCGCAAGCCTATTTTTTCATTCTGCAAGAATTGCACAGCACTTCTTTTTCTTTGTCTGCGCCCTGCACTACCCAATCCTGAATTCTTTTTTTTTCATTCTGTTTTAATTTTTTGCACTACGAATCCCAGCCATTTTGTGTCTGACCCATTTTCATTCGTTGTCAAGTCGCAACCTTTGTTTATCATTTATGAATGTAGCGATGTTTTTTTCAGTAATATTCATTTCAAATTCGCAAATGGAAGTACRTGATRTYWGTAATGCATTTYAGGAAATACGTAGTAAGCATGCATGTTGTATCTATCTAATTTAATTATCGCAAATATTATCAAACATCTTCTGTCGCCTGACCTATTACCGAGTGATCACAGTTATCATTCCCACGACCCAATAGTCGCAATGCCTCAGGAATGTAAGGTTTATGCTGCATTGTTTGAATGGTTACCGGCGGCGCTTGGAGAAGGAAGTCACCACCCAGTTCCTCTTGTATTCGCTCTAGCATTAGAGCTTCAAACTGTGACCCAGTTGCAGGGTTTCTACGCAACTCCTCAATTTCTTCACACAACCTTGAAAACAACAGTCTCCCCTCTATCGCCCAACCCTCTCTCCTTCCACTATCTGCATTGCGGAATCTCTTCTTTCTTTTTTTTACAGTTGGGTCCACTTTATTCTCCTCGAACTTCACCCAAGTATCATATTCATTGTGCAGCATCTAAATTGCAAAAGCCTCATCAGAAACGGCAAACACGTCGCTTATCTTGAGTTTGCCTTTGTGGCTTTTGAAACCGGTCTGTACAGGATTTACGGAGGCCAATATTCGTGTTAAAAAATAGTAGAACTCTGCATTGTCCGCATTTCCGTAGGCCCTGTAAGATGCGTTTAAAATTTTTCCCTCATCGCTATTTGTCCAATCAATCAAAACTGACCCCAGAAACGTATTGGGGACAAGGTCTCTGTGCTTCCTGTCCTCTGTAATCCGTTCCAACGAAATGAATTGAAATAGTCAGTGTGGTGAGTCCATGACACTCAACTAAACTTTCCGATAGT